ATAGTTGCAGGGGATATCAACATAACAATAATGAGAATAAGGACAGTAAAATAGTTATTAATTTAAATATGAAAATAAGGACTTATCGTTTGCTTCGCTACAGTCCTGCGATCTTTTTAGATTCACAACACCCACAGTTAACAACAAATAATTCCATGATAAACTCCAGGTATAGGATGGAGACGTAATGTTAAGTGACAAAGTGTAAGTGGATGAGTGCATCGTCCAACCGTCTTTTAAATACTGTTAGTGTCAGTGCAGAAACGACCGATTCTGGGAGAGCATTCCACGGATGACAGACACGAATAGAAAAGAAATTTCTGCGACACTCCAGACGACTGTATTGTTCTGCGAGTTTTAATGAGTGGCCCCTCAGGTTTGTATTGCTGCTGAGTTGCAGTAAAGTGCGGCACACATGATGTGGGTCTCGCAGAATCAAGTATGCCATAAACAGGTCGCCTCGTAGTCTGCGATAGATGCCACTGAACAATCCCAGTCGTTGCAGCCTCTCCTGGTAGGAAAGATTGCGCATTCCAATTACGTTCCTAGATGCCCTGCGTTGTGGCTTCTCCAGTGCATTAAGGTCGTGGTTCACCCATGGTTGCCAGGCTTGAATTGCGTATTCAACATGGGGGCGAACATACGCACTGAGCATTTGTCGAAATATGGAGCTGTTTATTTGTCTAAACGCCCGCCTCAACAGCCCGGCGTGTTGGTTCCCGGTCTTCGAGGCCTTTTCGGATTGCTTGGAGCAACCCAAGTCATCTTGAACCAGGACACCGAAGTCACGTTCGAGAGTTGATTGTTGTAGTATATTCGTTCCGAGTCGGTATGAGTAGCTGCTCTGATGTCGGATGGAAAACACTTTGCATTTACTGTCGTTGAAATGCAATGAGTTTTGGGTCGAACATTGATACACCGTATCTAAATCACTCTGAAGCAGTATGCGTTCTCGTGGATGAGCCGCCGTAAATTCAATAACTTTTGGTAAATAACGCTAGTTTCCGTAAAAGAACCACATCGAAAGGAGCAATTACCCCACGCGTTTTCAACTAGACGATAGGTTCGATCGGCTTGAATAATGATGGCACTGTGCGTTTCTTCTCAAAAGTATCCGGGGTAATTAAGGTTGTAGCCTCGTGGTCCATCTGAAGTACCTTTTCGATTTTAGCTTCATCAGGCTTGGCGTAATGCCTTCTGAAATCCTCTATCCTCTTCTGCCTGTTTTACTGGGTTTAGGGGCCGTAAATTCGGTATTTCTTTGGGCGGTGTCACATGCACATTTCGAAATACCCTCCCTAGCATCATTCTTGATAGAGTAAGCGGTCGACGCCGTAGCCTTCACTTGAGACGGATTCTAACATACTCTACGTGAAACAGCCTGAGTATCTCCACCTACTAGGCTGAAATCAGTGGATATCGCAGTTGTCTTTATGAATAAATCTAATTTTCAGTCAAAAGTAATAAGAAAAGGCCACGTTTGTTCCTTTCTTCGCTGATAATATCCAGCTAAGAAACGAACATCATCTGTGAAAACAAGGCATCCAGACATATGGCTACGGCACTCATCGCAAGTGAACAGTCGGCTATCAGTAGTCGACAACATTGCGTCTTGGTCAGACTACACACCGATATCTGCCTCATGGTACCAACAGTAGCATACATCGCACTGCATGCCACAAGAATCGCCGACTACGACCTTTCAGTTACCCACATTTCCGTACATTGTGATTAACTTGGGGCGCACTGTCGCCGAAAACACGGGAGTGCCGGTATTCCGTGAATCCGGCATGATAGTTTCGAAAACAATAGAAGGAGATGCAGAAGTAAAGCCGGTGTGTTTTCCCTGTGATGCAATCGACAGAAACGGTAACGGCTTAACAAGAGTTGCAAAAGTGATCAACACACAAAGTGTAACCGGAAAAGTAACTGCAGGCTGACGAGGGAAAAACATGAACAACTTTGTTGAGTACACGGGGGTGGGTGCGACATCTTCCGGGAAAATGACAAAAGGTTTTGTCCGGTACTCTTATCAACATGGTTTCCGGACTGAACTAGGAAAACAAAACCTAAAAATGACACTGCGCTCGAAAATTGAAGCTGCAACACAAATTCAATCACGTGATCGAACTGCTTTTCGCTAGGCGAGTGTTTCTCGTAAGATAAAATATAACGTTTGCTACTACAATTTGTTAAGGTGTCAAACTTAATGTTTTAGCATTTGTTTATGTACAGGGGCGGACGAGCTGGGGAGGTTCGCACATGACGTTGCAGATGGCACCTGACTCAGTAACAACTTTCTGTCGGACTTAGATTATTCCAGCTATTCATTGTATTGCCCTATGTGTTTATGACCTTACAATTTGTGACCATAGCAATATACACCATTCAAGCAATTTCTAAAAATGTGCGCCTGTACTATAGTTACACAAGCGGAGCACAAGTGGGCAAAATCTGCTCTGAGAATGATCCTTGAAAAATAGTAACAACTTGACCTTTTACTCTGAACGACGTCCAACAATATTCGGTTGTTTCTAGACCAGGGAACAAATGTATTCTCCTTCCTGCCTTTGCTGCCAGCTCAAGCATTAGTAAACTCTACATCTCCATCAGTCGATCGTGTACTGCTCACATTTCCCTCAGCAATCTCACTTCCAACGGGTAATCATATGAGGAATTGGGACTCGACCCCGATGTGGTAGCAAGCCGGCGCAACTTACAGATAATTGTCCCGAAACTGTCCGTGCAGCGGTGGTTCATTCTCGCCACCAGCTACTTTTGTTCGCGAAGCAAACATGACAGTACTCAAGGATGGCTGTACTCGTCGGGATTATGCTTCATCCTACGGTTATGAGAAGTCCGTAAGATGGGAAAACAGTGATTCCTTCAGAGGAAGCTGTGATCTTTGAATGTGTAAATATAAGAGATTTTCACTTGTAGCTGACAGCCACAACAACGTTGGTATGGACTTAATTACATGCCAGAAATATGCGTTCATCATAATTTAGCTAGAAAGAACGTTCAATAATGCTTGGTTAAATCTGCCGTTCCAATTTTTCACTGGTATCCCAGCGGTAGGTAACAGCTCGCCCGGAAAATAGACCACTCAACATGTAGCGCACTTGTAAAGACTTCACCACTGGCTTGGATACATTGTGGCTATCACAGGACAAATTGGAGTGAAAAACCATATGGAGTGATCGCCTCTCGAATGAGGATTGTTCCATAGTTCACTATCTGTGCAGTGGTTAGTATTGTTAATATAAAAACCCGTATGTCTCACAGGTCTAATATGGGTTCAGCGATTGAACTTGTTTCCTTATCTTCGTACGTGCGATGACAACGCTTAAGAAGACATGTCTTTTTATTGTTTTGCAACCGTTGTATACTCATTCCCTTCCAGACCGTCGAATAAGCACAACCGGACAAGGTTAACCATGCAGTGCTCCTTGACATACTGAGGATGTGCGGTGTTGGTGGTTCGCTGCACAAATGCATCAGCAATTTCCTTATTGATCGGAAGTGGAGAGTCCAGGTGGACAACCATCTAACTGACTGGTATCCATCGAGCAGCGGCGTGCCCCAAGGCACTGTACTGGGCCCGATATTGTTTCTAATCCATATAAACGATGTGCCTCAGCTACTAAAATCACATTGTGCTTTGTTCGCAGATGACTTGAAAGTGTGGAGAGTAATCCGCACACTCAATGATTGCGATTTACTTCAGCAGGATCTCGACCGCCTCTCAACATGGTCTGCAGAGGTTAACCTTCCGATCAACCCTGCCAAGTCGCAATTCATGAGGTTGGGTAAGTGTGATCACGGCCGAACGTACATAGTGGCTGGTCAACCGTTGCATCCCGCTCCTTTCGTGCGCGACCTCGGTGTACTCTCACGCTGTGACCTAAAGTCCATTGACAACACGAATAGGCTGTACCAAAACAGCCTTCGTATGCTTTGGGCTCTCAGGCGCAGCTTTAGCACTTGGTCCGAAGAGATTGCCACTCGCCTCTTCGTCTCGATAATACGACCAATGCTGGAGTACGGCATTCCCGCATACTGTCCCATCACCCGGGGCGAAGTTGAAAAGCTTGAGCGGGTGCAGCATGTAGCCACCAGGCTGATTCCCAACTTACGAGGTATGTCATACGAAGACCGATGTAAGAAACTAGGGTTATACACCCTATCTTATCGTCGGCTGAGGGTTGACCTCATCATGACACACCGGATATTACATCTGGGTGATTACCCCATGTTGAGACAACTACTTCATCTACGCACACAAAGCTGCACGCGAGGACACCGGTATAAACTTATCGTCCCGGATTTGAAGCGGGTCGCCCATCAACTCTGTTTCGAACGCAGAGTGGTGAATGTCTGGAACGACCTGCCTCAGCATATAGTAGAAGTTAACACAGTGTCTAAATTCAAGATGCTACTAGACCAACAATTTGCAGAGGCAAAGTACAGAGAGCGAAACGATAAATAAAAAGTTCATGTCCGAAAACGACGAATGATGCAGCTACACAGAGCAACCTCTACTCGCTGCTTCCCACCAGTTCTCAGTTCTCAGTTCTCAGTTCTCTTCTTCAGGCAGGCAGTCGGAAGATAAATAATGGAAAGCTTAATGAGAAGCAACAAGTAGTTCGAACGCGACGGTATTAGTACGATTGTGGGGATCGGCTACCAGATGGTGGAACATAATACTAATTTTGTGCCACATACAATCAGTCGTCTCCTGGTCGGTGGAGATATGTGTCCGGAATTCAGTCGCAAAGTACAACGTTTTCATCCTTTTCTTATGAAATGTAACACCATTTAAACATCTCATTTTCCCTAACAACACAACTCGTTTTACTCGATTCATTATTCAACAGTAACTATGTGGAACCGTCATAGGTGCTAGCTGCATGACTTTTCTACCGTGTTACCATGCATTATAACTGATAATTCTGAGCCTTTCTAATAACCAGCCCATACCTCTAATCTAATATCTCTAGCTCCTGCAGCCAGCCTGTATCCATGTCAGTTGGCAGGGATGGCGTACTGAATTCTGCGGTGCTGAATTCGTCCCGACTGGGTAATCAGACTCATATGAGTTCTGTTGGTGGTACCGTTTGTGGAATATCTGCCAGTTCATCCCTCATCGGATTGGCAGCCGCCTCTACACCCGGCGGTCCAATTGGTAGTCAACTCGCACTTCAAAGCGCCCATTTGGGTTCGACTACAACAAGCAGTTCATCCGGCCAACTTGTTCAAGGCTTGGAATGCCTACGACTAAACACATCCACTGGATCAGTTTCAGCGTTGGTAACCCCGCCACATATGGCAGAACCACAAACTGCTCCGCAATCCCAAGCCCAGCAAGCGCTGCAAGCGGCGCGATTGCAATCACAGCATCCGCAATATATGGTCGCACTGAACTCCATCAACCCATCCGCTGTATCTGGTAACGTCAGATTTTCTGGAACCAGCCTGTCTGCAGTAACTATACCGGCCAGTCAGCACTCCCACCAGGGCAGCATGGACAGTGGTGTTGGTCAGTCGTTGGCCGGTCAGTCGAGCGCGAGTGCTAATCAAACCCCGGAGCACACAGTGATGCATTTTTGCGACACCGGTAAGCTCACACTGGTTTTAATAGTTTAGTGCTCTTTTACTTTATCACGCGAAAAGTGCGATGTTGGATTGATATAATTGTATGAATCGATGCACCGTTTCTGAAATTTCCCAGCACTCAATTTGCCCCTTACCTGTGAACACAGAATGACTATGGTCCAGTGGCGTAGCATACTAAGTTTGTCGCCCGGAACGGTGGTAAAATTTTTGCCCTGATGGAGAGCAGAATAGGCGCGTGAAGGCCACACAACCGGCTCAGGGTAAAGTACGCATTTGTTTTCCGTGAAATGGATAATCCTTGGGGATCTGAGGTAACTGTGGTGAAAGTGACCACTATGGGACAAGTAAGGGGAAGATCTTTTACACAGGTGTGACACGTGACGCAAAGATGATGTTGTTGGTCATATAGAGTAAGAACAAAATATTCAAGCCACAGCTTCCCCGGATACGTTGCCCCTCATACTTGGTATCGAACATTCGGTGGTACTAAAAATGCCGCGCCATGTCACCTGGAGCCCTGGGCGGACCTCTCCCGCCGCCCTATGTTACTCCTCTGCTATCGTTTTATAATCTATGGAACATGGTAGTAGATCATTCCAACTTGTCCCTTTTGCGGGATATCCCCCGGCGTGTAGCCATTAAGTATATGCAACCTCCGATTGTTTAAATGGCTGAGATCCTACACAAACCGCAAAACACCTGATATCGACTATCTTGGTAAAGTTCGATGTGATCAACCGTGTTAGAATTGTCCTGCAAATTCGTAGTGTAGACAACCGGCCATGTAATTCCCTCTTAAGTAAGGGAGCAGTGCTCAGCCTCCCAGTGGCGGTGCGATGAATGTCATTGGGTTTGGTTTTCAGTGTTGTGAAAGGAACTATCACTTACTCCAGCAGCACAGAGAGCAATCAGAAGGTGTACATTTCGCACGCGTTAGCAGCCTAGTGTTCGGTTTGTATCCGGCACACGTAGACGGCAGCATCGACGAGTGTGTACTTCACCGTTGTGTGACTTGCCTCCATCGTACCTGTGCCTTCTGACAAGCCGCAAAACAATCCTCAGACTGAGTACATCTTTTCCGGTCCAAGTTCTGGATTCAATCGTACCGTATATCAATAGGACTATGAATGTCTGGTGAGCAAAGCTAACACAAAAATGCATAACAGGTGGTACACACGTTGAGCAGCTTCCGGGTGCTCATACTTGTACGCACGAAAAGGAGTTCATCACGTCGAAAGATTGCTTTGTTGCTTTACTCAGGAAAGATTAGCTTAGCTAATTCCTGCCTCCCCACAATGCATATAAGCTTGTGTGAAATCAAACAGAAAGTTGAAGCTGCAGCTGTTTCTCCGCGTTAGTGTGTGCTCAGCCTTCCGTATTGACCGCATGGTTAAAGAACAGGTCAACTGGCAAACGCAAAGTGTCAAAAACCTGCACTTGATCGGAGTGAGATTATTTATCTGCACTAATGTACCGGTTTTTCATCGGGCCTGCTGTACACACTCTGAAATAAGTGCGCACGAGTGCATTGGACAAGGTGAGCACATCTGGGTTGTAAAAGTGCGAATGAACGTTGCTCTCAGCCAACGCAGACCGTCGCATACACCGGCCTCAGCGAGCTCAAGTGCACAGTGGAAAATGTTGATTGCAGCACCATTGTAAACACATAGTCATATGTGTTGCCACAACAAAACACAATGCATAGTGCTCTTCCCTCAGACTGAGTTGACTATTTGATGTAACGAGACTGTTGCAACAGTTGGCCTTTTAGTACTCCCGTAGAGTGTCATCCCTTTGTTGTGTGTCATGTACTATGGATGTGGCGTTGAGATTGATTCCAACAGGTGGTCTACTTCGTGTTTCAATGGGTGTACTGCGCTGTCATCAGTGTCAGTGATAGCTTATGCCCTAGCGTCTGGAAAGCCCTAGTCAAGGAACAGGAAGTGCAGACTTACACAGCATTCACTATCTTTTCTTTGGTTTATCCGACTGAGGCGCATACCCCCAAACGCATACGCGTGATGTACGCTGCATTTTGTACGGGATTGACTTTCCAGCGCAGGCACTGACAGCTTGCCTTTATGGAACGTGTGTTTTGACACCTGATGGCTGCTGAGGATGTACCACATGTTGGAGACCGGGATTCTGCACACAATGCACTTGATCGTGCGTCCAAATGAGCATTCAACGAAGTTATCACTGAGCTGATCACGCATCAGGTATAACTGCACATCGGTTTTCTGCTTATAACCGATTCCTAAAGTGGTCACACTTTATAACATCAAAATAAGCACAATCTTTTCTACTGAGTTAAGGGTACACTCTGAACTCTGTACTATTTCCGACTTTGTTTTGGGCCTTAACCTCTGGATAAAATGCTATCATTGGCACTGATTCGAAAATATGATCGTCGGCCATATCACGTAACAGGATAATATGGTTGCGAAGGGGAACTTTTCTACGGGGAATTTTAAACTTCTTCCTCGTTCTTGTCAGACACATATAGAAATCGGCTAAATATACGCAATATGGCTGATGTCAACGCAAATATCAATTTGACCACATACGTTGTGCATAGTCAACACCAAGCGTTTATGCTGATTGCCTACACTGCAATGAGCTGCTCCTAGCTTCATATATGCCGTTGGTAGTGCTATAGTTCCTCAATGATTAACCGAAACTTAGTGCTATGTCTTGTCTAGGGGCAAATGTTACTGCTCCCTTTTCCATCATCATTGTGACATGCCGGCTAAATTGTGTATTTGGAGGACTACAGTAAACTTGCAAATGAGGTAGATAATCCTTTATAGCTTTTTCTGAGAATCTCAGGCTACCTTGACTAAAGGCACAAAAGAGACTTAAACGCCAACTCGTGTTATCAGGACATGATAGCTGCTGTGGAATTTAGTGTGATCGCAATAGAGGTTAAGGACCAACTCAGTTCCCAGCTTTGGTCTACATTGAAAACAAAGCTGAAACCACGTTTTACAGCAGACCGCTTGAAAGAGCCTGGGGGTGTAACTGATGCCGGTGTCGTGCATGTCACTAATCAACCGGTAACCTGTGACAATGACCACTGGGAAGAGTTAGCCATTATATGGACGCTGCCTACTTGGTTGTGTCCAATCTATCTTGCAAGCAGATCAAAAACTGGAAGACATGTGGTACCCAACAAACCCCAACTCTGAACTTATACTCGTACGTGACTACAATGATGAATTCCCGTAAGCAATCAGGTTGCACTAATCGACTTTATCTTTCAAGTGTGCAAGAAGGCTGGCTGCTTCTCATTGTATACAAATTTGAACTGGAATCAAACAAACCTACCAGTTAATATGGTTGACGTGACCAGTACTGACCACAACTTCGCATGCAATACAACCTTAAATGCACATACAGTTTCCACCAGCTGACATTTGAGCACAAATTGCTCCCAAAATGAGCAACCATACGATTAGCGCTTAACGGCAGAAACACGAAATCTAAATGTTGTCGATATATTAAAGCCGTAGTCGCTTTGGGATGGAGGTCCTCGTAGCCTTGGATGTGACAGCATCAAAGCAACACTGCCGCTTCGAGTATGCATAGTTCATCCCCGATGGATGGAGTGAACGAGAGCAGACGTAATACTTGAATGAGCAAAATCGTAACTTCGTAACCAGTTAGTCTGATTCAGGAAAATAGGTTGCGATAAAACTGATTTCAAGCACTCGGGAGTCGCAAGCTTCTGAATTAGGACGTGACCATCTGTATTGCATCAATTCACCATTAACAACACTTCAACTCAGCAACCGAGCATATTTCTATAAGACTCGTTTAATTAAAAAAATCACGATAGGAAGACATTTAATGATAGTCACTGGCCAACTGCGTCACAGTGTAGACCAAGCGTTTAACATATGCTAGGACTTTAGTCCCATATGGCTAACGAAGCTAAGGTAACTTGCCTTGCTTGTCACCGTCACTTCAACTTTCTATACCGGTAGCTGAGAACAGTGACAGCAGTAAAGTGTACTTGTGCCGTACATACAGGCCGGAGTTTAAATAGCTAAACGTCGAATGCGCATGCGCAACCAAAGTGATACCCTATGCTGTATTGGTTTATCCGCATTACCTTGCAGTATCTGATGCGCTCCCTCGGTTCCAGCTTATCTGTGTCATCATTATTAAACATTAGCTGAAGGTGAGAAACAGACTGCAATTGTTGTGCAGCAATACTTAAAAAAATGAGATATAAAAAACATAATCCTAAACATTATTGAATCTAAAAGAGGCAAGACATTGCTCAGTAACATGCTATGCTTCTAAAGCGAGATCGTGGTTAGAGGTGGAATATAAGCTGGATGGGGAGGAGCAAAGAAACGCAAAACGCCATGGAGATCGGATCTTTGCCAACGCAACTACCATATATCTAATCAGAAGTGTTCATCGTCCTTCGGATCCCATCTTGTCTGCATGATTTAGTAAGTAGCATGCCGCTTAGTTACGAACAGAGGATGACCCAAAAACCCAATTGTTGCAAACCCTAGCGAACCTGAATTCGTACTCACGATGACAAATAGCGTTTATTTATTCCTTGCATATGCGGTATTTTATGTTAAGAAACCCAATTGATGAATCTCGCACAATACTAGTCTTCAGTAAACGAAATATTCCAATTTCATTAATAGGAATCGACGTCAGAAATCACTTCAGGGTAAGGAACACTTTTCAGTAACATCTCATCAGACCTAAATGGTTACGTAACACTGATTGAGTGGAAAGTGTCAAATCCGGCTGGGGTTGATTTCTGGGTTGTTTGAACAGTCAAAAGAGATAACTTGAGGCACGGATATAGATGGTAAGCGAAAAGAACTAAAGTAACATGCGTAACTAAAGCTCAGTAGTCCGAAGTAACTTGGTAAGGTACCAGCCAAATAACTTAGTAACATTGTTAATTGTCCACTGTAATAGTATCGTCCGTATGCACTGTTCTTGCACATATAATTCCGGCTTCAGATG